ACATTGTTTTCGCAAGGCAGACTTTATGAGGCTTAATAATTTTATTTCTGGCTTTAATTGGTCTGATCTTTACTTATGCAATAACATGTCCGATGCAGTTAATGTTTTTTACACTGCAATAAACTCATATTTTAATTCCTGTGTTCCGTGGTACTATCCGTCAACTTCCAATAAATCACCTTGGTTTAGCAAAGAGTTGACACACTTAAGAAATGTAAAGTCCAGACTTTTTAGGAAATATAAAAATACCGGTTCTCAATCTGCTTTTACTAGATATTTAAGTGCTCGGTCAAGATTTACCGTGCTTAATGCTCAGTGTTATAATAGTTACTTAAACCGTTGTAATGTCCAGTTCTCTCAGGTCCCGAAACAGTTTTATAATTTTGTTAACACCAAGCGTAAATCTAATTCTTTTCCTTCCTCGCTGTCGTTCGAAAACATGACGGCAACCACAAATCAGGCAATAGCCGACTTATTTGCCCAATTTTTTCAAACGACTTACTCTTCTTTCGATTATTCATCACAGCCTTATTCTTACACCATGCCCAAGTAAAAACTTCATATTCTGTCCCACTTTAACAGAAAGCTCTCTTCTTTTGGATCTTCTTCGTATTAAGCCTGTTTCTTCGCCAGGGCCCGATGGTATTCCTGGGTGCGTGCTTAGGTATTGCGCTAAGGCCCTGTGCAAACCTCTTCACAAGTTGTTTACCTTATCTCTAGAAACGTCCCAATTCCCAAATATTTGGAAGGAATCATTTGTTATTCCTCTTTTCAAAAAAGGTAACAAGTTAGAAGCCAGTAACTACAGAGGTATTTATAAGTTGTCAGATATTCCTAAGCTTTTTGAAAAAATTATTACCCCTCATTTACAGCACCTTTGCAGATCAATTATTTCTCCGTGTCAACACGGATTTATTAAAAGTAGATCCACAATTACAAACCTTCTAGAGCTCACTAAATTTGTGATAAAAGGCTTCAATAGTAGTTTTCAAACAGACGTCATTTACACTGACTTTAGTAAAGCATTTGACTCTGTAAATCACTTACTTCTTATTCAAAAACTTGACCTTTTAGGTTTTCCAGTTGATCTGCTTAAATGGATTTCAAGTTATCTAAATGGCAGGTCACAAAGGGTCTTTTTTAAAAATTCAATTTCTGAAATTCTCCGTGTTACCTCCGGTGTCCCACAAGGGAGCCATCTGGGTCCGTTACTTTTTACATTATTTATTAACGATCTTCCCTCAATTATAAGTCATTCTCGCGTACTTATGTACGCAGATGATGTTAAGTTGTGCCTGCAGTATAAGGACATTTCCTGCCATTTAGACTTGCAATCCGATCTAGATAATTTTCAAAACTGGTGCCGAGATAATTTACTAAATTTAAACGGCTCCAAGTGCAAGCTGATGACTTTTTATCGGGCCAATTCGATATACGCGACTTACACGTTAAGTGGCAGCTCTTTGGATAGAATAACTCTTGTAAACGAAGCTGTGCCGTTCTCTTGGACCCTAAACTAAAATTTTCTAATCACATTTCGTCCATGGTTAATAAAGCCAGAGGAGTGCTTGGATTTATGAAAAGGTGGTCAAAAGAATTCAATGATCCTTATTTGACTAAAACTTTATTTATTTCGCTAGTCCGTTCGATTCTGGAGTATGGGTCTCCCGTCTGGAGTCCACAATACGGAATACATATTGGTCGTATTGAATCTGTACAAAAAAACTTCCTTCTTTTTGCTTTACGGCGCCTAAACTGGGATGCAAATCTTATCTTACCTTCTTATTCTAGTAGACTTGTTTTTATTAATTTACCATCCCTAGCCAACCGTAGAACGATGCTTGGTACTATCTTTATTTATAACCTTATACATGTTGATATTGACTGCCCCGACTTGTTAAGTCGGCTAAACTTTTCTGTGCCAAGTAGATTAACTAGAAACTATATTCCCCTAATTTTAAATCATTGTAGATCTAACTATGCCTTGCATGAGCCTTTCAGAGTATTATGTTCTGACTATAATAGACTTTTTCCAGTAATATCAAATCTTGACTCTCTGCCGCTCCTAAAACGATTAATACTTGCTTCATTGGCACAAGATTGATCTAACTATTACTTTTTTCCCCGGACCTTTACCTTTATTTTCCTATCTCGCGTCTATCTTATCGCGAATCGTGCCGTACGATACACGGCTGCGCCCCTCGGTCGGTTGGGCGGGTAAGTGGGCCGTGGGACTCCGCGCGAGAATCCCCAGGGCGGAGTACCCCCAATGTCCCTACAGCTTCCACAACATAAACATCGATGACTCGCGTCTCACATCACAAAAACTATCGGTCCTCACTAACAATCAAAACAAACAACATGATGTCACTCCTCGCGAATAATACAGCTCCATCTCCCCCACAGGGACGACTCACTCGCACATTTCGGTCTTTACATACATTTAATAATCACCGTAAGTACAAAAGTTTACATTAATGGCTCTCCTAGTAATTAATTTATCTTTTCTTAGCCTTTACGACCAAACTTGACCACCGTCTTCAAATTTGCGCGGTCGAAGCAGAAGATTACCTTCCCTTGGCAAAGGCTACAGGCGCCGCGGAAATAATGTTCCACCAGTCAAACCAAACGTAATATGCACTGTAAACGATCTCGCCGTCGACCCAGTGGTGTTGCAAGATGTCTTGCCAGACAGTTTGCATGTGTGAGCAAACGTTCCCGGTATCGACTTGAGGATTTGCAAATCGTCTCCGTTACCGTCGGCACTCCCGTGTCCTGGAACATAACTCGGTTTTCTACATAATGGTGCCACTTCACCCCTAGCATCCTCCTGAGAGCCTTTGTAATGCATGTTTGCACCCTTTTTAGTGACGAATCACAGGCCGTGTCCCAGCAAGTGATTCCCCAGTTTAAAGTTGGAAGGACAATGGCCTTAAAAAGCCGCATCTTAGCTTCAAGGGATAGGCAAGTTTTGTACTTGCTGATCCACAAACTCGATAAATTTGTCCCTTCCAACAAAGGCGACGGTCTAAGGTAACTCCGAGGTACGTCACCTTATCTTCGTGCTTGAGCCTATTCCCATCAATGTAAAGGCTACGCGAACGACCAGGGCGGAGAGCAAAAGTGGCATGTTGCGTTTTGTCAACATTAAGCGCAATGTTCCATCGAGAGGCCCAGCACTCAAATTCGTCTAAGAATGTCTGGACGCGTCGGGACGCAGACGTAGTGGTGCTACCAGCTGCAAGAAATGCAGTGTCATCTGCATATGTGGCCAGGAGTGTACCACGAGCAACTGGGTTTGGAAGATCCGAAGTGTAAATTGTATGCAGGACCGGACCAAGGACGCTTCCCTGCGGGACACCAGCACGAATTGGGCGAAGTCCAGAACGGTGTCCACGAATGTCTACAGCAAACTCCCTATTATCTAAGAACGATGCAACGAGATTCCAGAGCCTTTCAGGCAAAAGCGGCATTAGCTTGTAGAACAGTCCTTCGTGCCAAACCCTGTCAAAGGCCTGTCGAACATCGAGAAAGACGGCTGAGCAGTATTTGTGGTCTTCGAAAGCCCCCAGGACATGGTTAATTACTCTGTGCACTTGCTCGATAGCACTATGGCGACTACGGAAACCAAACTGGTGGTTCGGAAGTGCGTCTTCAAAGGCGTTAATAGCTAGAAGAACGATGCAACGAGATTCCAGAGCCTTTCAGGCAAAAGCGGCATTAGCTTGTAGAACAGTCCTTCGTGCCAAACCCTGTCAAAGGCCTGTCGAACATTGAGAAAGACGGCTGAGCAGTATTTGTGGTCTTCGAAAGCCCCCAGGACATGGTTAATTACTCTGTGCACTTGCTCGATAGCACTATGGCGACTACGGAAACCAAACTGGTGGTTCGGAAGTGCGTCTTCAAAGGCGTTAATAGCTAGAAGTCTACCAAGCATGATCCGCTCAAAAATCTTGGAGAAAGTAGACAGCAAACTAATCGGCCTATAAGATTCCGGGCAACATGGGTCTTTTCCTTTTTTTGCCACCATTGTGACTAATGCTCGTTTCCAAGGTGATGGAAAATAACCAAGGTCCAGGCAAGCATTAAAGAGGAGACAGAGCTGTGCAATGACAGAGCTAGGCAGAGCCTTTGCTACTTTGCCATCAATCGCGTCCATGCCAGGAGCTTTAGTAGTAACCAGTCGCTTTATATGACCACGTACCTCATCTTCGTCTACTGGACGGACAGTAACAGGAGGGCCAAATGAAAGTCCTAACCTAGAGATTGTTGTCTGGACTTCTTCGCTTGTTGCAAATGCAAATGGAGTAAAGCGATTTTCAAGATCATCAGCAAATACTTCAGCAATCTCGGAATCACTGTGGGCCCAAGTCCCATCACCACGTTTAAGGGAAAACCTCTGAAGGGGCTGTCTTTTAAGGCTACTGTATCAGAGCTAAGGAAAGTCCTCCGTTCGGCCAAGTCAGAATTTTTTATAGACAAGCTCAGTGCAATTGATCCTAACCAGAATCACGGATTTGCGCTCTGGAAATGCACCCGCAACCTTAAAAGACTATTAAACCTAACACAAATTTCTCTAACACTCTCTTTTTTTATATTTCGGCACAAACACTACATAAATATTTTCGCTCTGTCTACTGGGACAATATGGCTACGACTATATCAAAATCTGCCTATCATTCCTATATCGCCACATTCCCTTTGCCTCTCTCGAAATTGGGTCATTGGACATATCAAGGCCATCCTAGCCATACCCAGAGCGAACCGGGCTAGTTTAAATAGCTAAATAGCCAAGGGCATCAGCAGTAGGGGTTGCCACCCTCCAACTTTATCGATAGCCCTACCACAAACGAATACCTCCTTCCTATTTCTTCCAGCCGATTCCAAATTGAAATGCAACAATTTCATATTTCATTTTATTATTGATGTCAAGGATGGCAGACAGACAAGCTCTATTCAATGGTAGCGCGTGCTGCCCTTCCAGCCTTTCTCGAGGGCTATCTCCACAAGCTCGGCCTTGTGGTCAACCTATGCGCGCTTTCCAGGGGGTGCGTCGACATCCGCTGCAGATTCTTCCAGGTCAGCGGGGTCCACATCTAATACCTTCCATAATCTCTGCAATAAATATATTTTATTAGTTAATAGTAAACCACATATATAAGACTGGGGACATACTCTTGTTCTCCAAGATTTTCTGTTCCATGTTGTAAAACGGTATGCGCCTGGGAAAGAGTGGATCAACTTTTAATGCTGCCACCCCGACGGAGGACTAATTAATTAATTATTACAAGTATAAGCAGCATATAAACATTTTCAAAACTTACCCGTCATTATTGTTTACGTTTTCCTAGTGAATGTTTCAGTTTTCACTGTCAAGAAGAAGAATTCAGAGTTGCACCGAAAAACATCGCCCAAATATCGCATAAAAAAGTGGGAAACCGTATGGACCATCTGCTCAACGGATGTTGGATAGATCTCTGTGGGAAGACGGCATTAGAAAATATTTTTAAACTGAGTAGCGCCAATTGCTCAATTATCAAGAAACTATCGATGATTCACTATGGTTTCTGTCTTGGCAATGCTGCCGTGGTGCCATTCACTTAACAAATTTAAATTTCAAGGAAGCAACGGATAGGAATTGATTGATGGGGTACTAACTGGGATCTCTGTGGAAAGACGGCATTACTGGCCAGAAATAATATATGAAATGCGTCGGTTTTCCGGACTTAGCTTAGCAAATAAGCATTCTGTTATTAGAATTGAATGGGGCAAACTTAAATTAGCGTTATTTAATTAAATATTGCTGTGCATGGAATATTTAATAATTGGACAGTTTTTCTATGTATATTGTGGTCTCAAGTTATGGGGCCTAATTTTGACGTATTGACTATTCTTACTGTTATGGAACTGCATATTGTTCTCCCTGGGATGGCCCCGGCTAGCTCCGGAATCCTCAGGGCGGAGTTCCCCCAATGTCCCTACAGCCCCACAACATTAAATATCGATTACTATCGACGTCTCACACTACAAATACTAACATCTCTAACAACAAAAAAAAGGTAAACAAGACAAAATAAACAAACCGGGACAAATTTGACGGAAAAGTGGCATTGGATGTGGCTGCCACAGCGCACCCACCCTTCCTGTGGTGCCCCTAGCGTCGCGAGGGAGGCACCATCCATGTTCCAAGGCCGGAGCCACTGCCAGGCCAGACTTCGACCGGTTCATCTACCCGCTGGTAATTGCCTTAGGCCCACATCATCTTCATCTCCATTCTAAGTACATTTATTTATAAATATATACATAATATTGCCAAATATAAACGTTAAGTATATCCTCTCCTATGTATACCATTGCTTACAGGTCAGGGCAAAACCACTACCCGGCCTGGACTGCACCAGCTGCAAGGCCTTCTTAAAATCGGAAATTTGGCCCCGCAGAAAATTTTAAGCCAAGTGGCTGTCATTAATCAAACACCTCTTTTCTCTCCTAATTACCCTGCTGGAGCTCAAAGAGGACACAAAAGGGACAGGTAAATATAAATAAATAAATTGTATTGAGTTCTGCTAAGCCCGCTTTCGCAATTTCAGACCCCGAGTTAGCACAAGGCCAGACTCAAGCTCGCGGAATCACGAAGACGTGCAGAAACGGACGAGGCGAGTACACAAATTTACAAATACAAAAATTAATCTTAAAATCTAATCACAGGCGCGGCGAGTAAGCCGGCTGCGGGTCGCCGAAGGACGACTTGGGATCCTTAAAAAGGGCGGTCCGGTAACCGGTATTACGCCCTGCCTTGGCCACTGCAGACCGTGACGTCGCAGAGATGCTGCGTGGTATGGGAGTCGCGTCGTGTTCGAGACGTTGTGCTGCTCGGGTTCTACGTGCCCGGAACGGACTCACCGAGGTAATGTAGAATTCTTGTAGTTAAGGGCAACTGCCTGCGGCGGTGTTGGTTGGTGGTGATGGCTGTGGCTGTTGCTGCTGCCGGCGGCTGTTGCTGCTGCCTGCGGCTGTCGCTGCTGCCTGCAGCTGTCACTGCTGCCGGCGGCTGTTGCTGCTGCCGGTGGCTGTTGCTGCTGCCTGCGGCTGTCGCTGCTGCCGGTGGCTGTTGCTGCTGCCGGTGGCTGTTGCTGCTGAGCACTATCACGAGGGCTGCTGCCCTTCCTCCGAGAAAATTGTGAAAAAACCGAAGAAAATCACAGAAAACTGCCTATGTACCCCGGTGGACCTAAAATAAATAAATTTCCACTTAATTTTCTAACTTTACTAGCACTCTCACTTTTTCTTGGCCTATTCTAAGCTAAGAAATATCAAAATCCCGTCGACATGGCTTCGATGTCTGGCAGCAACTAAACCCTATCCCTGACCTACGCAATGTCATGCTCATCACGCCATGTTCCCTTTTCCTCTCCCAAAAGGGGGTCATTGGACGAATCCAAGGCCATCCTAGCCATACCCAGAGCGAATCGGGCTAGTTTATATAGCTAGATAGCCAAGGGCATGAGCAGAAGGGGGCGCCACTTCAGTAGGCGTTGCCACCCACCAACTTTTATCGATAGGCCTTTGCCCTCGATTTCGATCTATTCCCGGCCGGTTCCAACTTGAAATGCAACATTACACGATTCATTAAAGTATATGTTATATCAAAATTCTTGAAGGACTTACAGTTTCATGCAAGTTGGTACAACCTTTATAGAAGTTTAATAAATGTATAAATAAGTTAACATTTTTGCTCCTTACATAAGATTTATATTAGAAAATAATTAAATTTTTTTTTTTCGTTATGTCATGGATGAGCAATTTACATTATGGTTCGTGTCGTGGTAATTAGTGGTTCTGGTGTTTTAGTCAGCGCTTATTCTTAGCTATTTTCAACACCAGCATGTTCTTCAAAAACTTTCGGCTTCATTCAATCTAATATTAAAATAGCCCCTTGCTCCAATTTCCAGCGTTCCTCAATAAGCTATTATCTATGACGCTATTTTGACGCACATTTGTGCATTCGTTAAATTTTCTCGATAATTCGTGGTAGCACAGGATGTTATGAAACTAACGCAACAGTAGTTGTGAATTAACTCTTCGAAAAAAAATATTTTATTTTACCAAATATGAAAGTGGCTCAAGTAGCGCATAGCTGGCTTAGTATTCTCCGTTCTAATATGAGGTCACACTCCATAACTAGATCACATTTTACCTACTATCCTACTTCATTGGGAACTGGAAAAAAAATGAATATGGTTAACGCCATAAACAATGCAATGGATTTGGCGTTAAGTGATGACAAATCGGCATTGTTGTTTGGAGAAGATGTGGGATTTGGTGGAGTTTTTCGGTTAGTAAAATGAGTTTAATAATAATAGATTATTCGGTATCTAATATTTGCACTCAACAGTTGTTCTGTTAATCTACGAGATAAGTATGGAAAGGAGCGAGTTTTCAATTCACCTTTATGTGAGCAGGGAATCGCAGGGTATGTTATAATATAAGTTACAGAAAGATCACCGATAAGCAAAGCAAAAATATAAGTAAGAAATATTTCACTAACTTATACCCCAAACTTACTTTTCATCTACAGTCCCGCACTAATGCTGGCACACTTGCAATTTTTGACTTTAAATGTTATTTTTAGGCTTGTGTAGCATATTAATGATGCCATTTTTTTTTAATTGGTTAAATAAAAGATTTTTTATTTGAAAGGCACCATTAATTTTTAATTTTCTATAACTTTATTAAAGATATTTTAATTTTAAACGAAAAGGAACTTATTTTCTGACACAAAAGTATTGGCACTCTTAACCTAATTATACTATTTTTTACATTTAACTTATAATTTAATATTTGGTTGGTAGTCCTTTTTGTTTAATGACATCTTCGAGACGTCTAGGCATGGAATGTACCAGTTTTTTGGTCACCTCTTGGGAAATTTTCACCTATTCCTCCATCAAAGCTTTTTTGAGATCATTTTTCGATGAAATGTCATGCTTTCTTATATTTCTATCCAATTCCTCCCACAGGTGCTCGATAGGTTGAGATCAGGTGATTGTGGGGGATGTGGCAGAACGTGTGCGGTATTGTACGTGAGCCACATGCGGACATCCGTGACCGTATGCTTTGGATCATTATCATGCATAAATGTGTATGAGTTCGGCATGCTTAAGTTTAAGGCACTTTTTTTAAGGCTGTCCTTCAAAATATTGAGGTAATAAGCCTTGTCCATGGTTCCCTCGATAAATACCATTTCCCCAACACCCGCAGATGACATGTATCCCCACACCATGACTCCTCCGCCGCCGTGTTTCACTGTTGGCGACAAATTTTTTTTTTATCCAATGCAGTGTTTGTCTTTGTCCACACCTGCTGACGGCTATCGGATCGAAAATATTAAATTTGCTTTCATCGGAAAACAACACCTGATCCCAATATTCATTTGGCTTGCCCAAAAGTCCTTGGCATAGGCTAAGCGCTTTTTTTTTTATTGAGATCAATGGCTTTCTTCTAGCAGTACGACTGTGGTAGTTGTTTTCGTGCAGGGCCCTTCGCACAGTCATTCTTCCCAAACTCATTCTTAACCTGGGAAGAGGTTATTTTCGGATCCACCTTCACTTTTCGAATCAGTTGGCTGCGTTCCCGGTCAGTCAAAATCCTCGGCCGTCCAGATCTAGGTTCATTCGCCAAACTGGAAGCTCCCTTAAATAGTTGCACGATGCTTCGGATGGAAAATCGGCTCATTTCCATTATGTTGGCGATTTCGCCATAGGATTTCCCTACGTTGTAGAGATGCAGGACAATTTTTCTTTGAGCTACGTTGGATTCCTTGCGCTTATTCTCCATTTTTCAAAAATTCAAAACAAAATGCATAAAAAAAACCAACACAGCAAAAATTCTTTGAAACTTTGATCACATGTTATTTAACGGGAAAACCGTTATAAATTTCATAAAAAAGTATGACCAGATCCGGGTTAATATAGAAATGGTACAGAAAAATATTTTAACTGTGCCAAGATTTTTATCACGAAATAAGTTCCTTTTCATTTAAAAATAAAAAGCTTAAATAACGTAATAGAACATCAAAAATTAATGGTGCCTTTCAAATAAAAAAAAACAATTAAAAAAAATGGAATCATTAAAATGCTACACAAGCCTAAAAGTAACATTTAAAGTCAAAAATTGCAAGTGTGCCAAGACTTTAGTGCGGGACTGTATGTACATACAGTGACGCACTTAATTATTGGCACATCAAGCATTTTGAACTTGAATACTATTTTTCTTTGTTTAAGCCTAGTGCTCAGATCGACAAACGAACTCGTTTGCTAGCGTAAAAACTTTAATCTTTCCAGTCTGACAAAAATTTCGAGAGTTCATCAGAATTAAGCGTGCTACGGTCGTACTGTCAGTCAGCTGGGTTTGTTGACAAGCAGTTCAAATTCAAGTATTGTATTTGCGGGAAAGAGCCTTTAAAAGATATTATCAACTACCTTGGCAAGTCAAAACTGCCGCTGTACAAAGAAATTAAAAAACAATTCAATTTAAATTTAACACTTTTTTTTTTTAATTTACTTATAATTATTTGCTAATTTAAAGTTCATAGCTGCACTTTTATTGTGTTTTTTCGCACATTTTTGACCTAAGAAACACTTTGCTCTGACAACAGGCACCTCAGATAGTATTAATGTTATTTTGTCCTCACATGTAAACTCCTGCAATCGACTTTTGCGGGTTTTTTGATTTTTTCCCTCCATTTTTTAAAATGTTCAGTGAGAAGCGCACGCCAAAAGATTAAATTTTGTATTCTTTTCGCTAGGGTTCACCCAAAGTTAGTTTTAGCAGACTGGCAACGCTTTGAAATTTTCTTTCGTCAATCTGAGTACCGAGGTGAAAAAAAGGCCCGACGAAAAGTGAACGCCAGCTGTTTGCCACTCGCTCTCTCTCATGACTGATTGAACTATTTTGTTAAAAATTGCATCTATGTGCCCAATTTTTTTTTGATTTATGATACTCTAAATGGTAAAATGATAAATTGTAAAGCAAAACTAAAAGGTTCTGGTAGGAATCTTATGTTTCTGGTCTTTTAGCTTGAGATGGGCCCAAAGGTTTTCAATAAATTTGTTTGGAATCATTGGAAAATGAACTTGTCGCTTTCTAGAGCCATTTTGATGGCAGTGGAGCATACATTTTTCTTTAATATATAATATGCAATAAAAGCAAGTTCCCAACTCCTCGAGCAGACATGCACAGCAAAACTAGTTTTAATTTGTTCGGCCATGCAGCTCCAAATTAATTCGGCACCTCCCCCATGCTTCGCCGTGGGACTACATTTTACATTTACACAACATTAAATTTAAAAAACTTCAGTTCTTCAGCGGGCTTTCGCCACACTTTTCCTTTTCTTTCAGCTCCGAATAGATTGAACTGGCTTTCATCGCTAAATATTACATTTTTCCCAGTATTCAAAATTCAAGTCTTTTTAGATTTGGGCAAAAGACACCCGTTTTTATATATTGATCAATGAGAGCGCAGACTTATTTCTAGAGCATCTCCAATGCAATACGTTTGGATACGTTTGTTTTTAGGGATGTGGATATGGCTGTATTAATTTTTGGATCCGATAAGTGCTTGCATTCTCAAGCGACACAAACTTGTTCAAGTAAATCACAGTTGGTCCGGATACATTTTCGTCCTCAAAACCTCTGAATGGCCCAGTGAAGCTGCATCCTGCGTTTCCAACTGAACCTGCTCCCAATCCTGTGGTGTGTGAATTCTGTTCACCAGATGCGTGTCCTATTGCATCATCCATTTCGCACTTGTAACGTCACTCCTTGTACAAGTACTACTACACAACTCATGTGCGATTCACTAGGCAAAGTCATCGAAACTTACGAATTTGGCTCTCGATGACCACTATCATGTATAAATTATGTTGAGTTGGGGTTGACCGGTGGCGGTGCCGCTACTGGTCGGGTTATGTAGAGTTGGGGTTGCCCGGTGACGGTGCCGCTCCTGGTCGGGCCGATGATGACGTGACACCAGTTGCTCGCTGAGTGGTATTGCAGCCGCTGGGTGGCTGCTGACCATGTGTTGGATAAGTGTTGGCGGTCGGCAACAATGTTGCTTAGCTTGGTCGACAGGCCGTCCGCGCTTCAGTGGAAAATGCTGACGATTGCAAAATGACCATAACTCACCATACCGGGAACCAATGGGACCCAGGCACGGCCCCCAAAGACGGGTATGCTGAGTTGGCATCTAGAAACACTAGGGTGATCCAAGAATCATCCAAGATTTCTACCGACTGTTTGTTACTCTTTATTAATGTTAACTATTCCCCCCTTAGAACTAAGACCGTCCTCGGTCGCCTTGAATGTCTCGGCAACCTTTCGCATTTCCCATGCATCTCGTCTTCTCCTCCACACGAGATGGAGCAGGAAGAGACCGCTGATTAGAAAGCTTACTCCCACGCCGACAGCGATCCAGGTGTCCGTTAACCCAGCCGACTTTACTTCATTCTTGAGGGTTTGGATTGTTTCCAGGTTTTGATTGTTCATCATCTGAAGCATTGGCATACTCAGCGCGTGGATATGCCCAATAATGTTATGCTTTCACGGGGGTTGAAGTCTTTGGTGCGATTTACAAAGGCTAGTCGCTCAAATGTTATTAGATGCGTGCCATTCGTTTCTATATTGGGGCCGTCATCCGTGCTGACTATTGCCGGACACTCACTGATTTTTATTATACCATCGTGTACTAGAATGCTCCGAACATTGTCGACCCGCAATCGGTGATCGCTAAGACTTCCTGGTTGCACTCAGCTATCATGTTGTCCCGTAGTTGGAGAATGGTGTGTTGGTGAGAAACGGGAAAGACGGTGATCTTTTTATACCCGTTACTCGTAGAGTAAAAGGGTATATTGTATTCGTGCAAAAGTATGTAACAGGTAGAAGGAAGCGTTTCCGACCCTATAAAGTATATATATTCTTGTTCAGGATCACTAGCCGAGTCGATCTAGCCATGTCCGTCTGTCCGTCTGTCTGTCCGTATGAACGCTGAGATCTCGGAAACTATAAAAGCTAGAAGATTGGCATTTTGCATGTAGATTTTAGGAGTTCCTACGCAGCGCAAGTTTGTTTCAAAATGGTGCCACGCCCTCTCTGACGCCCACAAGCCACAAGCTGTGGCCACAGTTTTGATGATATTATGAAAATTTTAATTGATATGTATTTGTTTCGTCAATAAATATCGATTGGCCTAATTAAAGTTTGCCACGCCCACTCTAACGCCCAAAAACCCATTAAACGCTTAAGCCTGGCTAGCGCCTACATTTCCGCCTTTCATGGCGCCATCTAACGGATGACTTTGGAACAGCCGGCCAAGGTGCTCAACAGAGTCAACGTTAATTCACGATAAGGATTTCTATTAAAGGAAATTGCGATGGTTTTCATTTGTCAATACCGAACTATATCCCAAGAACTATGCAAA